GTGGCAACCTAAAATGCCCCTGCCACTTTGCTGAACTTGGGAACTTGAATACAAGACACACAGGTAAAACACATTTAGTTGTAAATTACAGGAGTGAAAGAAAGAAGGAGACAGAGAATGCCCATGACAGAAATCCTGTAGGAGAGAGCAGACAGTGTGCGTGAAAAATGCCTACATTTAGCCTTCTACACTGACTGTGGCCCTTAGGTAATGCTAACTTCTGAGAAGCTTCTCTAGTAACTCAGGCATCATGTATCTTCAGCATGGATTTGTGCAATAAGGGTCAATACTAGATGTTATTGGTATGTAATAGTACCTGAGGCATGTCTAAAATAAAGGAATGCCTTACAAACCTTTTTTTTTTTTTTTCCCTGCAGTTGGTGGGCAACAATCTGTTCCTATGCAGATTCTTAAAATGAGAGTTGAAGTGGTTTAATTTAGTTTGCCCCTTTTTCTCTATGACATTTTGAATGTATTTTGCAGTAACTTATATGAAACTTATTATGGGATTCCATGTGCCTAGTTTAGGTATTTACTTTACACTTGAATTTCACAGTATAGGTAGGCAGGAGACCTGTCTATTGTCTGTATAGGGAACTTCAGAGCTACACCAGTTTGCTGTCACTGTAGATGCTTGGAAAGAACTATGATTAGTATGTACAGAAATGTACTGGTGCGAAGTACCAGAGGAAACAACCAGAGAAGGACATAAGATGTTAAAAGCACCAAGAACATTGGGTTTGTTTAAATTACACAATAAACCATACATTTCCTTTACCAGTCTCCCACTGAACTTTGTGCAGCTGCACCTACAATGTAAGTATATGTTAGGTATTTGGATCCCAAGGTTAATTATTAATATTGCAGTGGACTATTTATCCTGAAAAAAAGATAATATACATGAAACCTATGTTCAATTAACTGCAAATGGATTGTAATTCAGTGTTACTGACAAGCAGGGACAAATCCTAACTTTAGGATGCTGACATTTTATAATATTCTTAGGATTCATATGCTTTCCCCACCCAAAGCCAAATGGCTTTACACACTCTTTCTTATCACTGGAAAATATCGCTTCTTGCCCTAACCACACCTTGCTGGCTCTCCAGGTAGTTCACGAAGCTGATGTGGGACCATAGCTGTTACTCTTGGGATTCTTCAGAGCGATGTTCCAGGGGCTGGAACATCTGGTTAAGCACCTCCAGTGTGGGGATCAATAGCTGTTGTCTTTCATTATTATTAAGCACTTTGAATAGAAATTGCAGTTACAAAATACCAGGGATGTGCCTGATTGGAGCAGAAAGCAAAGCAGAACAGGTTTAATCTGTCACTGTAAGGGTTTCTTCCGTGGTGAAAAATAACTCAGCCCTATTCCTCTTTCTAGCTCATTCACATCCTGACCAACCTGACTGATCGGTTGTGCAAGTTTGGGGACTACCTGGGGAATTGATCCAGGTTAAAAAGTAATCCTATACAAAACACAACACAGAACTGGGGAACAAAATGTTCTTCTTTGTGATGTTTTTGGAGTGCAGGTTTCAGTGAGAAATCTCTCAGACATTATTTTATTTCACTTATAAAATACCTCACACAAAAATTTAACATGAACACATAAATGTGATTAACCCAAGTAGCTCATTCCAGGCTCATTTCTGAGACCAGGTTGGACTAGTCTGATCAACCACTTTGGTGGAATAGTGGATTCAGGCTATTCTTTGGGACTACTCTCATACTTAGCTTGGAGATAAAAAACAATTTGGGTAAAAGTTCAGTGAAAGCTGAGAAAAAAACCCCCAAAATCTAGCAAAAAGCAAAAGATTTTACTTACTTCTGCTCCTCTCCAATCTTCCTCACTAATGCTGTTGACAAAAAAAGAAGGAACAGAAATCAAAATGAGCATTTAAATAATTTCAAAAACCTGCCTGGACTGCTTTCACTTTTTCTTGAATTTTATTAGTTCTCTAATCTCTGTCTGCATTCAAGATAAGCAAATATTGAAAGCAAGCCAACCAGCACAGTGTCCACAGGTTCACATCTCAGTTAAAAAGGAAATGTGACGGCTCACAGATCTCTAGAATTACTCACGTTCACTGAGCTGGGAAGTAGTCTCCGTGGCACCGAACGGAGAGCAGAGGAGGTAAGTATGCCTGAAATTATTAGAACAGTAGATCTATGAGTTAAATCATGCTCTATTACCCTCTCAGTAAAATAATAATAATTGTACATAGACCTCTTTTGTAGACCATTTTGGCATGTACTGGCAGAAAGAGTTGCAGAGAACTAGGGGCTAGAGCTGGTCTGTGCTTGGGAGGAGGACGGCTGTCCAGAGCAGGGTTATCTCAGTGCTGGTGTGGAAACAGAAGTATCACATGGGCTTTTCTGTATCACTCCACAAAGAAATTGGAGTCGTAGCTGTGAGATAATTAACTAAGCAGAGTAAAAGTGTGCGATCACTGTGGATGTAGGAGATTAACTGGCAGACACCTTTGTGTCTGCATTTGGAGAGAGATTTTTGAGATGTGTTTTTGAGATGCGTAGCTGGCTGGTATGAACACGCCTGAATGTTTGTTTTTTTTTTTCTCCTGTCATATACACTAGATCATGAATAGGCTTTCCAGGAAACAGGGCAAGGCTTTTTGTCCATGGTATATTTTTTCATGGTATATTCATAGATCGGTAAGAAACAAGCAGTGCAACAACCTTTGTCCCCAATTGATATAAAAAATCATGGTTTTGACAGAACAAGATCAAGGTTTCTGTGTACTGTGCATTGAATGTGTCCCCTTTTTGTTTCCCACAAATTCCTTGCTCTTTCTCCTGTATCAGCAACATTTTTCACTCGTTCTCCGTGTCTTTGCATCCTTAGGACCTCCCCAGCTTTGTTACCACAACTTGAATTTAAAGGTGTACCAATCCCTTGGTTTCTAAACGTGGCTTTTTCTCCATTTAGCGCTGCGGGGGTTGTTTCAGTCAGTGAAACGCAGCGAAGCACCTCACAGGCTTTGACGCGGGCAGCGCCTGTCGCCGTGAGGTGAGGCAGGCAGCCCCTCACCACATGCGGCGGCGGCTTCTCCCCTCGCTCCCCTCACTCCCCTGGCTCCCCTGCCATGGCCCACGCCGCCGGCACGGGTGGAGGGAGGACAGCGTGAGCACAGGGGTTGGTACCCCCAGGGAGGAGACGTCCAGCCACATTTCTTCGCCCGCGGGTCTTTGGCCGTAGAACTGAGCTTGTGCATCCCCCCAGAGCAGAGGATTTTTTTGTTGTCTGACGGCACCAAGCGCAGGTGTTAACAGAAGCTGAATTTGGTTAACCTCCTAGAACAAAGGCATACGTTTGTCTTAAAACGTGGTAGCACCGCACGCCCAAGGAGTGGTTTAGGCTGGGGCCTGCCACAGCCTTTGCGGCACCTGAGGAAGGCCCGTGTGTCCTCCTGTGGCCGCTGCAGGTAACCCGGCCCCGTCTGCCCGGGGCAGGGTGGGCAGCGGGTGTCCCCGGTCGGTCGTGGCAGCGGCCACTGTGGCCCTTCCCCTGCCCCGCCAGCTGGCAGCGATCCCCAGGGGCTTTCTGAGGCATCTGAGCGGGAGGGCACGTCCTTGGCGGTGGGGGTCCGAGGGCAGCGCTCCCGCCAAAGGCAGCGCTCCCGCCAAAGGCAGCGCTGCTGGTGCGGGGCCAGGCGGGGAGCAGGCGCCCGGCCGGGGTGGTTCACAGAGCGGGAAGGCAAAGGGGAAGGAGAGCACCAACTGGAGAGACGCTAGTGATAACAGGTGGGGTGGGCGGCCTCCTTTGCAAGGACCGCCTGTTGTGGTAATTCAGATCGCTTGGCTGGTACGTCTTGCGCGATCGGCACACTCGACAAGTCTGGGCAAGGGCGATACCCCGACGGTGGAGCCGTGGTGATATCCTGACGGTGAAGCAATAGCAAACGCAGCAGTCCAAGAGGGCATGGGAACGGTCACATTGCAAGGGGAAGGCAGGGGACAGAAACCCCGACAAAATTCCAGATAGGAAAGTCTCTCTTTCCAAATATATTTTAACCCACGTAAGATAATGCTTATGATATCCAAGTCTGGAAGTGAACTTGCTTATGTCATTCCTGCCAAGGCTGGTACATTGTCTAATGGTATTGATAAATAGTTCATCTACAGAGCAGGGAGGCAGAGACTGGCATGTTAAGCTCACTGAAATCCATGGAAGTATTGTTCAGCTCAAAGACTGCAGAACAGACACAGACCAAAACCTTCAAACCTAGATGCTCCATTTGTAGCTGGCTCAGCTACAAGTGTCAGTCTCTCTCTTCAGTCTCTCTGTTACTCTTCCCCAAGCGTTCGCCCTTCCCTAGTCACCACAACAATGATTAATGTCTTTTCCTGGCAAATATATGGCAATGGAGTTAAGGAGACACAAGATAACAATCTCATAAAATGAGTAGGTGTGTTTAAGAAAATAACTCGTGTTCAGGATTACCCATCCTAGTTTGCAGAAATTATGCTTACTATGGCAAAAACATTGGTAATGAGACAGAGAATAAGTAGAAGGAGGCAGAAATGTACTAAGACTTTCTGAACACAGTATCAGTCACAAAATTCAGAAAGAGAGCTTGGTAGTTAAGCTAGATCTGTTCAAGAGCTACTGACATCCCAAAGAAAACTCTACAGTCCCTCAGATCCTAGAGGAATCCTGACAAACAATTTTTACATAGGTTGCCTTCAGTTACATTAGTTTTTACATGCGTGTAGCATACACTTGTATATGAGTAAAGGGTATTGCTGTACACCTTTCTTTGTTTTTCATTAGAAATGTATCCTGAGTGATGTTATTGTGAAAATCTGAAAGCTAAATTTCAGTGTATTGTTTCCAGAATTTTGCTGAAATGCATTTTGATAAAATTTACCAGCATTGGATTCTTCGTTGGAATTACTTGTTTGTTTGTTTCTGTGAGATGACAAGCAAAGAAAAGGAGATAACTCTATATTTTCTTACTGCAGGTTATTTGCCTATAAGGACAACAGATTAACAATGGAACCATCAAAAGAATATCTATTCAAATACAAAGGGTTTTATTTTGCTGTAAAAAATACTTCACTTGAGTACGTAGCTTCCCTGGAGGATTTTGAAATCAAAGATAGTGACATATTTCTAGCTACTTACCCAAAATCAGGTAAGAATGGAATTGCTCCTAAAGGGGGGGAAAGTTTGCCTTTATTCAGCCATCTAACTGCAGAATTACCTCGGGTTGTTGGTCTGCTTTTAGACCTGTATCATCTCTGAGTATATGCAGTGTAGCATTAAGTACAAACCCTGTGTAGCCATGGCCTGAACAGCCAGACACAAGGTTCCTGCTCATGTCCAACTGAATTGGTCGACCTTGTTCTTGGACTCAATCTCGTAAGTATACTCAGAGCAAGCTACACACAAACCAAACTGACCTTCTTTGCCTCACAAAACACATATATAGTTTTGGTAGGGCTGGGTGCAGGACTGTTGGAGGTGATCGTAGGATATCTGGAATGATTTGTGGGCTCACATGGAAGATGGTTTGGGGGTTGCTGCATCCAAATTACAACCAAGCAGGAGATCAGAGCAAATGTGAGTCAATGATATATACCTCCTTTCAAGGATAAAGAAGTACTATTTACCTACATAGCAATACAGGACACTAGTGTGATGAATTCTGCATTCCTATTTCTGAAGAAAATGCAACTGAGCAGCCACCTGGCTTCACTGTCATCTTACATGGAATCTAAAGCCTTGACATGCCTAGACCTGTATGTTTCCATACAGGCTCACTTTATGCTCTAAAACCTACCTGTTTTTCAAGACTGTATTTGTTTAGTGATTAGTAATTAATGACTTGATCATGCATTAAGCAGTGATTTATGACTGAAGCCTTGACATCTCTGGTACCAATCTGTGCTTGTAGTTTCAAGGCCTCTGCTATGCTCTTCTGTTTGTGCTCTTGGGAACCTCTGCCATTATCCTTTGGTTTTCTTCAGTGGCCTCCAAGATGCAGCCTTTGGATAACGTAACTGGTGTTTTGTTAGCATACATCCTTTTCCTAGGATCACTGAACATCTTGCTGGAGTTCACTATTCCCTCAGGTATTCAGCAAAATACCTGAGGCAGAAAGACATTCTTGAGCAAAGCCCAGAAGGAGTGGCAGGGAGCACCAGGTGTGGTTGTGGTGAAGGTAGATGTGATACGAGAAGCCCGTAGAGGGGTTGTGGGTGACAGAGTGAGAGGACAGGGAGCTCAGGTGCTGCTATCTCATCATCAGGCAGCACGGGTGTGAGCTGTCCAAGTAAGGCAGAAAGGGAGGATGAGAAGGCAGTATTTAAGGGGTAAAGATGCTACAGCAGTGAGGTGAGCACATCTTTGGAAGTAGGAGTTTCATGTTGCAAAGTGATAGGCTACCCTGGGATGGGAAGGAGTTGGAAGATGATTTTGAGTTATGAATTGCACAGAATGTCATCTCTCTGTCATTCACACCTTTTCCTCTATCCTGTCCCACCATCCTCACTCTTCCTCACCAGTTATCAATCTAAGGTACCCTCCAATCCTTCTGTTGAATCTCTACCACTGTGCAGAAAAATTGTCAAGGTTGGTTATGCCAAGCAGAGCAAGACGGTCAGCACAGCTGTGAAATCACTGGGTATTGTTCCTCTGAATCCTAGGGCTATTTCTTTTTCTTGCCCAGTGACTTTAAAACTACAACACACACACTGTCTAATTTCCAGAACCAAGAGCTTCCTTCCCACGTAAGGTCTTAGCAACTAGGCTTCAGTTTCAGACACCTTCCTTTCTCTGTGCTTGTTCAGGGTAACCTACAGCAATAATTCAATGCTTTTCTGCATTGATTTGAATTCTCTCATGTATCCACCTTTACTGGTCTATGGTATAAAAGGGGAAAGGAACCAGCACTAGTAAAGTGCTGAGAAGGCCAGAGGACCTGGAAGTTAAACAGTTCTGCTCATTGCCGAAGTGGGCTAATCATTCAGGATTTGCCTCCCACCATTACCAGCTGGCACATGAACACATACTGGCACAGCAGTCAGCCACCTTCAGGGTCCTGCCTCTCTAGGTCATCCTTGCCAGCAGCTGTGACCCAGGTGTCAGACCTTCCGCAAGGAACTTTAGAGATCCTGTTGCCACAAGCATTTGCTTGTGCTTTACAAGCATGGTGTTATCAGCTGTTTGTTTCATGACATCTCACAACACTTTACAGGAGTTCTGGAAGCAAAGGGCTCTTCCAGATCCACTCAGTATGAGATCTTTTTAGGTGCATGGCCCACAGAAATGCAGCAATTCATGTTGCCACAAGAAGGTGAGGACAGACATAATTTGTGTGGAAGTTGAGTATACAGGGTGAAGGAACTGAAGGTTTAGTTACTGACCATGGCTTTTCTGCAAGGATGAAACAATATGCTTTCTTCTGCACTCAGCAGTCACCAAGACAATGTTTGCTTTCTTCAGTATATGAAGTTGTATTTGTATTCACAAAGTGAAACTCATTATAGCTGTGCAGGGTCTCTGTTTATGACAATATACTACCTTTAATTAAAAAAAAAAAATCAAGCAAGGTTCAAATAAAAAGGTTTCCTTCTTAGGAACTGTGTGGACTCAGAACATTTTGAGCTTAATAATTCATGAAGGCCACCGTAATGGAACAGAAAATGTGGCGACCCTGGACAGAATCCCATGGCTGGAATACAAGCCAGAAGATAAGGATTATGCAGCTCTTCCTTTGCCTCGTATTTTTGCCACCCACCTGCCTTACTACTTAGTTCCAAGAGACCTGAGAAACAAAAGAGCATGTGTAAGTGATGTTATTTTTACAATTTCCTTAAAACCAATCATGCCAATTTGCCCCAGTGAATTGGTGCAAATCCTATCTTTTTCCTCTTTCAGTTCCCCATGTCTCAGTATAAATATAACCTGCTTTGTATCTGTGGGGAGGCAAGGGACATTCTAAAGCCCCTTTCACCTGTTTCCTTTTGCCAAATTTCTTGTCCCCAACACTGTTAGAGAGAGGGGTGGTGCATCTCAGGAGGATCTGCCAGGGTCAAAGACAGGCACTGATTTTCCTCTTGTGAAAATGTCCAATTCAGTGAAGTCTGAAAAAAAGTCTCCCACTGAAAATATGAGTAGGATGGGACTATAGTATGTTGAGAGGGAATTTGAGAACTGCCTTTTCTTGCTCCTCAGTGCTGTGAGTTTCTGAATAGGATTCTCCATCATGAACTGTGCCATAGCTCAGGGCCTGTCTCCCATCGAAAATGCCTCCTTAGAGGCAAGCTCTTAGTGCTGCTGGTACCTTCTTCAGAGATACAGGTGTAATGGGAAACTGCAACGTGCTCACCATTTTCTTCACAGTAGCAGTGAAGTTTGGAAGAGAAAGCTCACATGCAGAAGATTTTAAATCCAAATGATGCCCAACAAAGAATAAGAAAATTGCCCCAAAATCACATAGAGCATGCATGTCAGAAAATACAGAAATTGTTGTGACTTCAGAAAAATATTGCTTGGGGGTGTGGATCTCTTCCACCTCTGCCTGAATATGTCACTCAGGTTGTTCGTATTTTGTGTCAAACCATAGAATAACTTTTTCTGTGATTTCAGGTCAGAGCTTTTGACATAGGTGTTTATTGGGTTTTCCTGCAATGTATTTAGGAACCCTTATTTTATATGCCATGGAAATAATGGGTTTGATTTTACTAAAGATAATTAGATAAATTTTCAATTAAGCAGGAATCAAAAGTAGTCATTTTACCCAGTCAGAAAGGCAGTCCGAGAGCATGATTCTTCCATCTCTCCCTGCAAATATTTGTAACCTCATAAGGGCGACATGTCAGGCTCTATTTTCTCTCCCTAATTAGACACTAAGCGTTAAGGAGCAGAAACTTAGTAGAAGCTGGCACATGCTGCTAGTCGAGTGGCAGAAGGCTCCCCATCTCACTGCTGGTGCCTGGTCTGTGCCTGAGGCAGCAGCTCTCGTGTTGTCAGGAGTCAGCAGGGGCCAAAATAACCCTTGCCTGTAACAGCTCCTTCTCTTAAGATGCCAGGGCTCCCTCTAACATGTCATTCAAAATCTGCCTGCATGCTGCCTCTGGCACCAGCACCACGGGCCAGCATTGCAGAGCACTGATGCTGTCAACACCACCAAAGCTTGGATTTACAAGAAATTCTTCGTTTCATCGTGACTGTACACAGAAATGTGAAGCTGAATCAACATAGTGATCTTCTAGTCCTGGCTGCCTTGCTCAAGTGAACAGTATCACTGAAGCCTGTAACACTGATCCCGTGAAGAGAGTTAGCTGCAGGCACTGAACAACTGCAACTACAGAAATACCACCACCTATAAACAAATTGACAGCACTATGTTATCCAGAATTTACCTCATGATTGTCACCTTCAAACCATCTTCACGCATTTTTAGCGGGACCTGTATGGAAAAAATGCACTGATGGTCAGGGTAATGGAGTCCTTTAATATCTCTGAGACTAGTCTTCTTATTGTTTTGCAGATTATTTATGTCACCAGGAACCCTAAGGATGTTATGGTTTCTTACTACCACTTCTCCAAATACATCTCCACACTAGAGGAAGTACCAGATTTTAATGATTTTATGGAGAGATTTTTAGCTGGCAAAGGTAGGATATCTTTTTTACTAAGGAGCCCAAATCCTATTGCATGACCGCAGATTGAATGGAGATTAATTATAACAATAAATATAAATTAGAGAATCTTCAGCTATGCTGTAACCTGAATCCAAAGCTGCAGTGGCTGTCTGAGCTTGACATCATTTTTCTGATGAAAGCGGGTCCAAAGGGAGTAGCATAGTCATGGCTTTGTTGCTCCCCAACAACATGCAAGCTGCTTATTTTATCTGAATTGGATGATGATTCAGAATATAACCATTATGACTGAAAATCTCTTTCTGCACTTGGTTAGTGGAGCTGAAACCATAAGAATAGACACCGTGCAGCAAAGACAGAGAAGTTTTTTGCTTCTGCCAGTATTAGTTCAGATTACTAGAAACAAAAGGGGGTTTGCCACGTTAGCTCAGAGAATTGTCACAAAGACTGTGAGCATGCGTCCCTCAAATTATCAAAAAATATTATTTTAAAAAAACCTTTTAAAGACCTAAATGACTAATGATTTTACTGTTTTACTGCTAGCTTTTAATAGTATTGCTCTTTATTTTTTTGAATAATTTCCCTTGCTAAGTACTTGCCAGTTCGTGGCTGGATCACGTTGAAGGCTGGTACAGTCATGCAGAGGATTTCAATATACTCTTCCTTACCTATGAAGAAATGAAAAAGGTGAGGTCAGTTAGTATCACTGTATTCTAGATATTCTCTTCCTATATTGAGTGCATTTTCAGACAGCTCTTTATAATTTCACTTCGTATTGGAACGTGCTTAATCCATTGTGGATTAAATTCAAATTGAGACTTCTGAGAGGATGAAGTCATTTGTTGCGTCGGTTCAAGGTCTTATAAATTGCTAGACAATTACTAGGTAAAATACTTTCCAGTAATACTGTATGCATTTAGTTCTTTGCATCATCAAGACTCTTCAAAGTAACATTATTTCAGGATCTCAGAAGTGCTGTGCTGAAGATCTGCAACTTCCTAGGCAGGAAGCTGAGCAAAGAGGAATTGGACAGTGTTGTGAGACAAGCTGCATTTGAGAACATGAGAAAAGATCCCAGGGCAAACTATGAGAACCTGCCAGATGACATCGTGGCAAAAGACAAGGGCAGTTTTCTACGAAAAGGTAAAGTGGAAGCAGTCTGATGCAACAACTGTTTAATGCCATGCTTCTTGGTGTGAGATGAACCTAGGATTTCTGGTCTCAGCTGGAATGCCCCATTTTTGAGAGAGAGAGTTCAGGTTAGTGGCAAATTAAATTCATAAGAGGAGGAGTTTTATTGCTGTGGCATCAGTGATTTTACCTATTTTCCTAAGGATAATGAAAAGGTAATTTTTACTGATTGTAACATCAGTTGTAACAGGCCCATCAGATATAGGAAAGGATTTAAGGGTTGTACCAAGCCAGGGGTAAGATAATACTTTTTTTTTTTTTTTTTACTGTTTCTTACTTTTCAAGGCACAAGTCACCTTAATTGTGTGAGCACAGACCATCTTGACTAACTACCCTCCAAGTCCATACATGGCATCCCTGGGCTCCTGGGCATTGCTAAGATGTCCTAATGCTCAGTGTAGGAGGAAACCTCCAGGGATTAAAGAGTGGTGCACTGAGAGAAAAATGAGAGGTGTTGTTTTTAATAATTACCTCTTTGATCTCAAAGGAATCAGTAAAACAGCAAAACAAATGAGTTGAGTAACTTCTATGAGGAGTCAGGATTATACGTCTACGCTGTGTTTTATTCACAGCGCCTAGATTTGGAAGCATGTCCTCAAAGGAGCACACAGAGCCTCGCTTGGCAGGGAGATGCTGAGGAAGCCAGGTGCTTCCCAAGACTAGCACTCACTGTTTGCAGCAGGCTTCAGAGAGGTGCATGTTCTGCTTCTCACCTTCCTTTGCTGCCTCTTCCCTCAGGCACTGTTGGAGACTGGAAAAACATCATGACAGTCGCACAGAGTGAAAGGTTTGACAAAGTTCTTAAAGAAAAAATGAAGACCCTGCCCATCAAATTCATCTGGGATCTTAATGATGAAATGTAGGCTGGTTTTGAGTTTCAGCATCCTTTTGTGTTTATACTGGATGGACATATGTGAAGTTCTGGAAGAAGAAAATACATCAATTTTCAGCTATGTTATAGAAACAATAACAACACATGAACATGTGTTGTCTGAGGAAGCTATTCAATTCCACTAGCTTCCTTTTTGTAATTTTACAAGGTATTTTAATTAACTTTGAGTAAAGTGACTTCCTTTCTTCATGTTTGCTTTTTCTTTCATTGGCTTTAATAGTACCAGAGTTGTAGACAACCAAGTGAGGATAGATTGGTGTTGCTAAAAACTTTCTGAAAAATGTTTCACTCATGCATTTTGTGAGGCTTATTTTGTAGAAACTTCTATGTCCAGACTGGAAGTAAGATTGACCAGCTTATGTATGGTTATGCTTTGATATGTTTGAGTTCCTATTTCCTCGGTAAACACCAATACTCAAGCGTTTGCTATTAAAGTGACCTTTATGTTGCCTTATCTGGTGTTGCCTATTGACTGAAACACTTCATTGCATCGTCTGTTATGATTCTCGAGGTCAGGTCTCACAATTTGCTACTTGAAATATTGAGACAAAACACTAGCCATAGTCATAGCAGTTTTTAAGTGAACGTCCACTCTGTCACACCTGATGATCTGCTGGAGGTACTGATGTAAAAAACTACCAACTGTCTATGACTACATCCTTCCTCATACATTCATTGACTCACTATCACGGTTTAACCTGTCCATGATTCAACTCCATGCAGCAGCTTGCCCATAGGCTTCCCCTGGGAAGGTAAGTACAGAGACATATCTCAAGATTTTTGTTTTCTATGAACTCAAAAAAAAAAAATTTGCTAATTCAACAACTCCACTCCTGACATGCATCTGGTCTACAATATATTCACCTTTGTAGACAGTTATGCCTTTTTTATTGTCTACATGATTAAACTATAGTGACTGCTTTTGGTTGCTACTGAATCAATGTCTTAACAACCAGCCACAGCAGGATACAACTTCTAATTTCAAAACCATTCCAATCATTTTGATTTGACAAAGAGCATCTAACCTTGGCTTTCCCATAAATTGTTTCAAAAATGTAAAATATCCTTTTAGTTCACATAATGACTTTTGCTTGTTTGTTTGCTTCTTTCACTGGTCCCAAGGGACCAGCTCCTTCTTCTCTTTTTCAATCCACATATTTTTAGCATTCCAATACATTTTACCTGCTTTTTTCCTGGGCAGAATTACTTCATGCACTGCATAGTTAGCTGCTTCTGTAGGCAAAGGTGACCTCATATAATTAGCCTACAAGAAGAATGTTTTCATTCAACTGTACAGGCAGATCATCTTTCCTTCTGGAACTTTGTATCCCTAATAGCAAGAAAATAAGTTAAACACAAACCCTTACATGACTTATGTAACAATTACATCCCCTGACCTTTGAGTTTGAACTTCCTACAAGGGGACTGATGACCTTTTCTACCTGTACATATTTACTCTGGCCACAGAAAAGGTAAAACTAGTTCAAAGTCAGAAGTCTAATGCAGGCCTTTTGCTGAGTTTGCCATAAGTACAAACAGAATTCCCGATTACAAGTAGGACCTTGATCTTTACTCTTTTTCCAATGATGGGAAGTCCCAGCACAGTAATAAAAGCCACATAAACCTCATGCTACACTGTATGCCACAGCCCAATGGCATCAGCTCACTCTATCAGTTGCAGATTTCATGAACAGGCAGTGCAGAAAGTAAAACTGAGTTAATGGCAATAAATGGAGTTATGTCAAATAATTGAACTTGAAAAGCCTCTGCCCTCTCCCTCCTACTCTCAGCCAAGTAGCAAGGCACTGAGGGGCCGATTAAAAAAATAAAATTAAAAAAAAAAAAAGCAAAACACACATTTCAAGCCCTGTCAGATTCTGCAACATGAGAGAGACCACTCACGTGACAGTCGCTTCTTTGCTCAGGATCTAGGGTATCAGCATCCTGGATCCAGGCACAGTCTGCTGTCTGGTCCAACAAGCTTTGAATTTGTTTCAGCAACCACACAGTTTAAAAACTGGAGGCAGCCCGATGGTTAGAAGTCTCTTAGGAGAAAGACTGAAGTTTATTCTCCCCACAGGAAGTGTACTTCAAGCTCCCCATTTTTGGCCAAAATAGGAAGGCAGGCAAGACAGAAGGCAGAAAGAGACATATAACACCCTTAGGTTTTGCTTGCCTTAAACAGATCACAATGCAATCATAATTTGGATGCAAAATCCTAGGCTTTGCAGCATGCCCAAGATTGTACTCCTACAGCATCTCAATGTGGTGGGCACCATCCTCTGAATTTTAATAGAGCTCAGGCACCAACTACTCAAAAAGTTCAGCACAATCAAAATTAAATTAGCTCTGGTCATAGCGCAGTGTTGCAACTCTTAATAATCTCTCTACATGCATTACAGTGTACGCTTTGGACTTAGAGTTAGAAGTAAGATAAAAGCAAGGTTGTCAGCACCATGATTTTGAATTACTAGAATTCCATCAAAGTTTATCGATGGAATTTTATTAGATTAATATGAATTAGACTTCAATTTAATCCAAAGTGCATGAGTAAACTTTAAATATGTCACCTAAACTTCTTGCACCAAAAAAACCTTCTCTCAGTCCATTTCAGCAAACTAAATCACGCAAACATAGCCAAGCTTACTCTTAGTCAAATTCCCTTTTATTTCACTGATGTTAATTGCTAAAAAAGCTAAACAAATCTGAAGTTCAGATGGCATCACTGAAACTTGTTCCAAAGACTTGGAGGAACGGACTTTACACAATTTTTTAATCGCTTCAACCCTTATTATTTCCTCTGCTTTGAAGTATAAGGTGTAACAGTGAAAACATATTTTCACATTTTAACTTGTTGACATCATTTTAACATTTTTAAGCTATAAATCCTCTGCATGAAAACCAACAAATATGTTAGTGTGAAAACAGACTAGAAAATCTCATTGACCTAGAAATACTGTTAACAAGAAACTTTTTTTCATACATACATGATTCTTGCTAGTGACCCACTTGAAAAAACTTCTCAGATTACCACATTTTGCATTCAGACTACACAGCATTCTTGCATTCAGTCCAGACTGAGAGAACTAATTCACTCCTTTTATGAAAAAATGCAGGTTTTAAACATAGATAGCTGAAAATGGAAAGCAGCCTTAGGAGTTAAGTGTTTTTTATGCAGCTGAACTGAGACATACCAGAAGTAAACTAAGTTCAGTACTGAAGGGCATTTTAAAGCATCCTAGCAATTACACAGGAAGCTGGATGTAGTCACTATGAAGCTTTCAATCCAACCATATCTTTGGAAAAGTCAGGTTTAATATCACACTAGCTCACAATTTTTTAATATATTTGGTAACTCTGCTGGAACACAGATCCTGCTTATTGCTTTGAAATATACATTATCATTGAAACCTAGAGGCTCATCTAGAGTTCTTAGTAGCCAAAATTAAAAAGATCAAATAGAGGACAGTAGGAACAAAGGCACATGGTTAATTTATAAAAGCATTTACAGGGTACTTGAACATTTACTTCTATCTACTAGAAACTCATTCATCTTGAATACAAAAAGAAAAGACTACTGAAACATGATAGAGGAGATCATCCTAAACAGATGTTCTCAAGTGATATGAGCAGAGAATCTTATACACCATTAAATTATTTCTGGAATGAAATTTCTCATTTTGAATACAGAATTTCCAAATATTAAAGTTCATAAATTTATCATTCCTCTAAGCACTGACACTTCAGTGCAATCCTCTTCAAAGGTTGAAGCTGGCACAGTTAAGGCAGTCTACTAACAGTATTTTAAAATTCAGCACACAGTGTTTAATCATTGAGGTGCCTGGTGGTTCTCTATTTGGAGAGCTGTCTTTTGAAACCTTCATCCATACCATCATCCTTCTAGCTGATGCAGTCTCAAACACAGCATGTTTAAACAGCACAGTTCTTGCACTGTTTTGGGGGTTTTTTTGGAGGTGGGAAGGGAGAAAGTGTCTAACATCAAGCTGTTAGCTCCATAACCAACTCTGCAGGATGGTTAACATCCATGAGTTGATGTGTAGCCTTACTGTACGTTGTACCTAATCTGTATAGCCTGCCAACAAGGTGCTTCCAAAACAACACCCATTACATTCAAACCTATAGGAACCCTACAAATCCTGGTACTGTAACCTGCACTCCACTGACAGTGTTTCAGAATAGCCTGGTGCCAAAAGCAAACTAATTTTCCTAGGGTGGTTCCTTTTTCCCCCCCCACGAAGTTCATTGACACAGAAGTTCAAAAAACAAACAAACAAAACCCTCTCTGAACAAATCAACCAAACATTTTAAGAGGACTTTATCTCATTCTAATTTTTTTCCTACAGACTTGAACTAGTCATTTTGAAACTATTGTCCTCAACTATGGCAAAAGATTTCACTTTAGTAGTTTGGAAATGGTTTCCATTAAACATTAATAAGGCTAAGCCTTACTAAAAGGTGACTAGTGCTGCCTATGTACAGCTGATAGGTTGGGGCACCAGAACTGACTTGAAGTGTTACAAAATTCCACAGAAGAAAAAAAAAAAAAAAAAAACCCCTGCATAGTTGTGATCCCTTTTATTCACCAAAGCTGCCCATGTTTATCCCAGGTGGAAGACAGCAGAACAGCTGCTCAGCCTTCAGATGCAGGTGTGTTTAGCGGTTGCTATAACATCTTTCCATCTTGCATGTTGTCATATCTCTTCAAAGGATAATTACAGAAGTGGGAAGGAAAAAAAAATAAGAGAAAATAGAACAGCATTTTCAGACAGATCAATATTCCTCAAATTTTTCATTTGAAATATTAAAGTAAATTTATTTACGATGAAAGTCATCAGGAGACCATTCTCCTGGATTTAAAATATTTTGGTTTTTTTCTTTGGAAAAAAAGAAAAAAAAACAATACACGTTACTAAAACCACAGATGCTGTGGCTTTCCTGCCTGCCCCTCTC